TCGTCTGCAAACTCAGACTATAATATTGTGTAGGTACCTGTGTAGGTACTTCCTACTGTATTATGACGTGTGGGCATGTGATTGTGTAATAGATATTATATCAATTCAGATCAAATAAACGACCACTGTCTAAAGGAGCTGTGTAAGTGTAAGATTCTAACTTAGGCTTTCTCGATGCATATATTAATATATTATATACCTGAAAATTTAGAATGGTACTTATCTGTGACTTACAACTATATTATTTATTGTAGGTATATTATAATCATTTTACTGTCCATATATACGAAATAGTGGTGTAGTGTAAATTATGTTGTTTGTAGATTGTGAATTAATAGATTAAAGTTTATAGAGATTATACTATTAGGTATTATTATTATTATTATTATTAGAGTAGGTATAGGCAGGCAATTATGATAATAGATTGTGACTTGTATTCTCACCCGTTTTCAAAAGTCATGAAATATTAATGTTGAAATTTTGAAAGCCTTTGATCATTAAACCATGATAAAATACCCTCTGTCTTATATGTATGTACAAACTACGAATATTCGATAGGTAATTTACTTTAAGCATAAATGCTGATTTCTAAGAACATCCAATAGAGCCATAGAGGTGTTCTCACTAATTACTAATTAGTAATTAAATTTCCCTTCGACCGTGTCTAAACCTATACCTCATTGAACTATATAATATAGAAATTGCAATTTAGATGATTATATGAACAAATAATCATAAACATAAGTTTTCTGTATTCAGTGTTTCAATTGTATACACCATATTATGTGTTATAAAGAGAAAACCTATAATTTGGAATTTGGAAAGTACAATTTAATTCAAAATCAAAGGCTTGCGCACAGGGGGTGCCTGGTGACCCTTCACAAAAAACGACAAGGACCCTAATAATTAATGAAGTGTAAGTTAAATTAATGAAATTATTGACGAATTCAAAAATGTTGCTCCTTTTAAACGTCGATTATCATTATAAGATTGTATATATCTATATATATTATTGTTATGTAATATTTATTAGAATGAATAATAAAGTAAAATAAATATTGTTAGTGCATACTGCATTTGATATCTTTAAAACATTTGGCTGTATCTATAATTGTGTTTTCAAAATTATTGTGGGCCCTAATTTTTAGTGTGCACCCCTGGAACCAAAAGTCTGGGCACGCCTATGTTCAAAATCTCTTCAATTGTATTTGTACCTAACATAGGTAATTTTCGTTTTCTCTATTAAACGGCTGAGACTTTTAGTTAAAATTGTAATGGAAAAATATTATATTCAGCCAGCGACGCGTATTTAGGGGTGATGGTATATTTTGAACAGCTGATAAAATAAAATAATAATATTAAATTAAATTATTATAACTCAATACCATGTCATGAGCTCTGTAGAGATACGGTGGGGGGAGGAGGTGCTAAGTCATAATATTTTCAGAAAACTTTCGATATTATAATATGTTTCTTTTTGTAATTTGGATTATAACAGTAAACATTTTTTTATGAATACGGCTTGGGAGGGGGCCACGGCCCCCAGACCCACCCTGGAGCCGCCCCTAGAATGCATTGGTTTTAACATTAAGTATTTGTTTTTTTTTTTTACAAATATATTTTTTGAAGAAATTTGTGATAGGAGGGGAGGTGTTTAATTTTCTTACTTGTGGCGAAAAATACTTAAATACCTACCTCTCATCTTTGCCTATATTATGGTTAAGATCTTAGAACTTAAGAAGATAAAAACATAGGTACTGAAAACACGTGTATAAAAAATATGTAAAGAAATTACAACCACAATACCTAATTGACGTCAAAAATGCATCAACTCCTACTATATCTAGTTATATAAGCATATTATTAATATTTAATATCATTATTCATTACCTACTTATGTAAATACTAAAAAGGTCTACAAAAGTTTTTATATTTATTTTAAGCTCTAAGATATACCTACCTAAATTGGCTAAATTGTTTAAAGATTTTTTTATTCAATAAAGGACGATTTGTTATTTTATTAAAAATAAACGTTTTATTTAGGAAAATATAAAAACGAAATGAATCCCTCATTTAATTATTTTATATCTGGCCACGATGATCCTAATAATTTAATAAAATATATAAGTAGAAACGGGAAAGTCAACTGATATCTAACGCTTATTAACAGTCATTACTCATTAGTCATAAGTCATAAACATTTTAGATAATCCACCTATATGATTATAATATAATAACTTGTATATCATTTATTAGACGTATCCTGGTACACTGTATACATACCTGATTCCCGAAGTCCCGAGGCTACACCACAACAAATCATTAAGTACCTACCTACAACTGTCAGGCATCAGCTGCTGCTGCAGGCTACACTCTCGAATATTTCAAAATATTAAACTATACCTGGCACGGTATACCAGCTAATTACGAGAACACACCGACGTCACCTTTTATTAAAATAGGTACATTTGACTATTTGAGTCAAATGATTTGACTAGAGGTGTACCTACGGTACTACGGTGTATATACCGACTAGCTGTATACCATAAACAGTTAATCATATTATAAGCGAGTAGCGAGAACAGTGCCGCAATTAGGATTCTTGGGGACCCGGACAAAGTCAATGTATGGGGCCCCGAGGTCTATATATATAATATTTTTTTATAGGTTACCTATACGAATGATGGTGATTTTTTTTTTAAAAGCCTAAAAATATAATGTGAAATTGTGAAGGCCCACTGCCTAGTGACCAGTGACCATTTATAGATAAATATAGATATTATTATGGATAAATAGAGGCCCGTTCTTCGATAACTAATTGGATAACATAATAAATTATAAAATAAATATTTTTATTTAATACATTTTATTTGATTTAAACATTAGATTACAATGCAATTATTTAAAAATTTAAAATAGATGCAGTGGCGCCATCGGGGCCAACTGAGCCAACGATTAGTGGCCCTCTACAGGGGCCTTGCCCCGGCTGCCCCTGCGGTTGTTGAGACACTGAGCGAGAAGCGACTGATGAGTCGTATTGTATTTTTATTATGTCAGAATAACCTCACTACCACAGAAGAGAAGACAACAAAAAAAAGAATCAACTCAATTTTTCCCAACTCAGCCGGTACATTCCAAATTGTTTTTCAAAACCAACAGAATAATAAAACCAGACCCTCACTCTGCGTGAATCGGATGATTACTCTCAAAAAACTATTTGTTGGACCTAGCTGTATTGCTACTATTGCTATGTGACCGAAAAAATATAATACCATTTATCAAATATAAATCAACAATAACAAATATGTTGTGGTCCGGGGAGATTGTCCTAAGTGGAATGTACTTATGCATTTACTAGGTAAATATACATTTTTGAGTTCAAACAAAATATATTGTCAAGCCGGATTAAAAGGGGGCCCAGGGGGGTCATGGCCCAATAATAGTGGGACACTGACAGGTAATAAGTTTTCTATAATATATGGATAATAGTTTTTTTTTTTTTTATTGAACAAAAATATTATATTTACAATCTGTATTTACAAGTAGTGCAATAAGTAAATGAGTTGTAGGTTGATTGGCGGGAGGGGGAAGTCACCCCGTGGGATGGATAATAGTTATATTATTATTATTTGGCCTCGGGCCCAAAATTATCTTAATCCGGGCTTGTATATTGTTAGCACGGCTATAGCCGTGATTGTTAAGTTACTACTAACTAGGTGCTATCTTCAACAGTACAGATATTTAAATAATGTAATTTTGGTATTCTTTAGTATGTGATCTACCGTATTAGGTACCAATTCATTTAGTATGTGATTTACGGAACCAATAATTAATATAAAAACAGTCAAATTAATAATCAAAAAATTATGTTAATAATTATTTAATTAATACATTAGTAATACAATTATAAAATAATACAGGATTACATTTAACAATGTCAAAATGAGTCAAACAAAATATCAGTTAAAAAAAATGTATGAATACACATAGGTACCTATAACAGAAATATGTTAAAACTATTCAAAAAATGTGATAAAATCATGTTATTATAAAAAAATTTTATTTTATTTTAAAAATATTTTCAGCAAATAGCAATAAAAATTTTTATAAATTAAAAAAATGTATTTTACATGTTAATAGATCTGTACTCATATGTAGAGTACATAATATAGATCAGCGTTTCTTAAACTGTTATCTAACCTATACCTTGAGTTACGTGGGGATCACATCAGGGTTCCGCCAAACTTACGTTATTTTTTTCAGTGAAGGATTTATATTTGTGAAGTACTGTTCGTCTGTTATTTAAAATATTTTTTGAATTAAATACAGTATACGCATTATTATTATAATTTTTAATGCAAATAGTCCTTACATAAAATGATGCATTTAAACAATTGAAACAAAGTAGGGATGGGTTTTAATTATCGAGTTGTAATAACTTAGTATTGAAAGCTAAATAAAAATGCTAAAAATGAAAATTAGGGGTTCCATGATTAAAGTGGACATAAAAAAGAGGTTCCAAGGATAAAAAAGTTTAAGAAATGCTAGATCTTTTTATCTTTTTAGGTCACACCCTAAACTCGATTTTTACTCGGTAGTTCACATACTAAACAAATTTCGAAATTTTTATAATATATAAAATGATTAGAACCTTATTAAATTTAACATAAGCCAAATATTTCAAATTATTTAAATTGACTTTATTATTTTTGGATATTATGTAGTTCTTATAAACACATGCATTGATTACTTGTAACTTTTTAGTACTCATCAGCAATAAACAATAGGTATCAAAATCATTCAATATTCCTATGAATAATCAACTGGCTCTGTTAACAACTAATACTTGTAGTGAATACAATGCTTATGAAAATAAAAAGTATTTATTCCAAAAAAAAAATCAATAATTTGTGAGTTAATATTTATATATTTATATATTTTATATTACTAGGTATCTTAATCCCATATATAGTTTTAAAATGAAAACAAGTTCTTTTGTATTAATTGTTGGCAGTTGTATCATTTTCAATTATTTTAAGCGCATCTTCTGCTTCTGTTGCAAGAAAGTAATCATCAGACTTGAAAATTACTGGTGGTTCATAGGCAGGTAACTGTCTAGAAGAATGGTCTTCTTGTTTTTTCTAATCAAAATTATTACAAATAAATAATAATATAATATAATGTTTGCAAAACGCATTAATTAAATTACGATTAACTTACAAAAAAAGGTTTGAGAATTGTATTTAATGGACCGTCCTTATTAACAGGCATACACGCCTCAGCTTCGGTTAGTTGTTGGTCAACTAATTCTACATCTTCACCAACTTTATTAACCAGCTTTTCTAATTTATTTACAGTGTCTGTGAGTTCAGTAACCTTAGACTTCATTCCTTTTATCGAATCATAATGCATCACAGTACTTTCCATTCGTAATGCTTGAACCTGTAAGTAATGAATGTAAATTAAAATTGAGTTAATCGGACACTATTAAGAAGAAATGATTATCTACCATTTCCATAAATGTCTGAAACTCTTCCAATCTGGTGAGCATATCTTCAAGTACATCTTTTAGAGCGCCAACCTGAGAAGACAAAGAAAATCTAGAGTATGTTTAATATAATTTCTATACTCCGTTTAGAATAAGAACGTTAGAACGCCGGGCGGCAGACCAAAACAGGTATGCCGCATGCAGGTCTGGCTTATGACTGTAACTATATGCATAAGGCTATGATTAGGTTGGGGCATAAGCGTGCTCAGAATTTCTGGCTGGGTAGTCGAACGTAAGTACATAACACATTAATACACACACATATTGCATATATTATATATCATATTCATACCTTCACACCTAAGTTATAAAAACTAATTTGAATGGGGTAACCTTATTTAACTATATCTGCCACAATAAAAAGTATTTTATGATTGAAAATTATCATGGTAATAATAATATTGAATATTGTTGAGGGAAAGTTTGCAGAGTAGTCAAGTGCCTGTCATGACTACCTACCCCGTTCGTACGCTTATTGGTTGAGGGTGGGAAACCGGTCGCATGTCTGAGCACAGAGGTACTTTCTTATTTTTGGACGGAGTATAGTACTAGTATTTATAAGCAATGGTATTAAGTCATAATATAATAGGTATACCTAAGTGAACTGCCTATGAAATATTTTAGTTTCAATGAAGTTACCTCATTTTCATTGTCGACTTTTAAGTACTCGGAATAATCGATTGCCAGCTCGTCTAACATCTTTGATTGGTTTATTTTACCAAGAGGTTGTTTTACTTTTTGAACTGTTTAAACTTTAAGCAACAATGTATATTACCTAGGCTACAATTTACAACAGGAGTAAGACAAAAAGTAGATCCGTATCACGATTCAAGAATAAACAACCTGTCAACATCAGTCACAACTTACATTTATGTCGTATTAATTAATTACTTATACAAAATCCAATATAGCATAATATACTGTATACCAAAGAACAATATTAATAAAAATATTTATTATTTTATTCTTTAATCAAGTGATAAGCGCTATCATTGAATAATCGGCAAGACCTAGTTCACGATTTATGATACTCTCATGTACTCTGTGGTTGGCTGCACCGTCCAACATGGCGCGGCGTCCAGGGCGACGGCTGACACGCCGGGCCCAAGCCCTCTCAAACATCAAACTGATTTTTTTCTCGTGTCCCTCTCTCTGTCTTAACTCTGAACTCCGAGTACCTTAAGGGGATTGGAAGCGGCGATTTTCTGTCTTTGTCGAACACACGTGCAACATAGGATTATAGACGTGTTCTATTTCCAACTTACCAATTAATCTAGTGAAGCGATAAGAACTCTGGAAACAGATTTGAATTTGTCGTCAAGTCTACTTGAGATCGACTTCCCCACATTTTTGATATTATCCCCCAAAAATCATAAAAATGATATATTAAAAAGAGTAATTAAAAAATTGCCATATTTCAATTTTTGGAGAAGTTTTAATCAAAAAATCAAAAATGTGGGAAAGTCGATCTCAAGTAGACTTGGCGACAAATTCAAATCTGTTTTCATAATTCTTATCGCTTCACATCCTATGTTGCACGTGTGTTAGATAAAGACAGAAAATCGCCGCTTCCAATCCCCTTTACCGAATGCCACTCTCAGTGGCGACAACGCGAAGCGTCCCGAGTCCCACACTACCCCTCCATATTGTAATTAATATTTATTCGTATAATCTCAATTGTCTAATAATTATTATTATTATTCAACCACCTTGAATCCGTAAGTACCTATATTATCTGAAAAATAAATATTTTTATAAAAACTCCTCGTAAGATATGCATAGGCAATTTCTACTAAGATTTATTGGCGTATAGCCTATCCTCTTCTTTATCAGAAAATTGATAAGCGGTAATAACCACAGATATAAAATACTCAGAAATAACACAGAATTCTGTGGTAATAATATTATGATCACGATAAAAGATATTATACCTTTATATAATAATATTATGTATCGTATTTAATCGTGAATTCGTGAATATAATGATCGAACGGGATCTATCTTCAGAGACGTCGGACTTTTTACCGTTTTTACTAATTTTAGTCGCTTTTTACATGACAAATTAAATTAAATTTGTCATGGTTTTTTACTTCTTAATAATAATTATTAACGATGACACAAAGATGATATAATATTATTATGTATGATGGTAATAATATCAGATTAAGTTGTACAGTGTCGATTTGCAGTAAATAGTAGGTAAGTGCATATTATTAAGACACAAAGTTGTCATAAATGTATCTCTAATCTGACCCCATTTCAATAATTTATAGTAAGTAAATAAGAATTGAATATCAAACTCAAAGTTTTCCATGTAAATATAAAGAGAAATGTAGGTAGGTATAACGTTATTGCATTATAGATTTAAATTTACAATTTAAAAATGATGGTGCCTTACTGCCTATTTAAGAATCTTCTTTTTTTTTTTCAATGCAATTTAGTCGTGATGCTATGAGAAACGCTGCAAATAAATATCCACGGGTCTGAATTAATTAAATTTTTTGCAACCAAGGTCTTTGGCGAACAGAGGCGGCAAGCGTATGGAGCGATCATACTTGTCACACCATAAGACGTAAGGTTATTCGTTTAGCGGACTATTTCCATCCCCATAGGGTTTAATGAGCAATGATAAACCTAACAGCAGGCATAAGGAGCGACTTCTTGTCATACTTTAAATTTTTTTAACTAAAATGTCAGCCTCAGTTGTATTGTTTGGATAGGTTTTAATCTCTAAATACCACTTCTAATACTAATAATGTTGATTATATAATATGCGACTTGCAACATTTTTTGTGAGATTTGTAACTTACACACACTTTACCTGTGGTTACTGACTCACTGCATTTATTCCCATATAACCAAGACTTTATTGTTTCGAAAATTTAAATATGCTTATTTAAGCAATACCATAAAACCTACCAATACGTGATTATAACTTCAAATCTAATGATTTGTTAGAATTTTTTTTAGCTATATTGGGACTGGAACCGATTTTAAAAGAACCGGTTCTGGAACCTAACCCTTTAAAATATTAAGAACCTGTACCAAAACCTAACCGGAATTTTTAGATTAAATATTTTCTTTCAGGTTCAAAAATAAAATAATGTTATTTATCATAATTTAATGGTATTACTGTTTTGTCTATAAACTATGTACGATCATATGAGTATTCTAATATTTCTCAGACTATTAATTAAACCAACATTCCGGAAAGGTATTTAAAATTATTATACTTTTCGGTACCTAAATTATCTGGAACCGGTACCAAAATTATTTGGAAGCTATACCTTTAGTTTTATTTTATCAAAAACCCAGAACCCATCCAGAACAGTTATTTTAGAAAAATATTTAGTCATTAATTGTGTATAATTATCTAATAGTTAAAGATAGACTTACTAATCACTGTCTTAATACTATCTCAGAACAACATAATTCTTCATATCTAGCTTATTACATAGAACTTTTTATGGTATTTTTTTTAACCAAAGTCATAAAAGGTATACCTGATTGTAATGTTTCATGTTCACAGTACTAATTGAAAAACAAACAATTAAGAAGACATAATTCAATATGGAACCATCCAGAACAACTATTGATGGTTGTGGGATCTATTCCAAGTGAGCAAATACATTATAATTATTAGTGTGGAATTACAAAATGCAATTTTAACATACATTTAAAAAAAATTTATTTTATAAAACTAGATGTTTTCATAATGTATATAGGTATTATTAAATTTGTGTATTGTATCTAAATTATACATAAGTTACCTACCTACCAATTAATAAAAAATCAATTTGTTTGCAATTTCTTTTGGTATAATGATACCTATATTACACAGTTCTAGAGTTCAAGTATTTAATGGCATTATTAAAGAGGAAATTATTGATGAAACCGACCTCAACAATGATAGTGAATTATTATTGCATATAAGGTATGAATTTAATTTATATCACACTGTAATAAATTTGTTAATGTAATTTTTATTTTTATTCATTTATTTATGATGATATTATAATTCACAGTTCTGGAGTGTTCCCACTCCCACTTGATGATTTTTGTGTTAAAAACTTTAATGGCATTATTAAAAAGGAAATTATTGATGATCAAGTATTTAATGGCATTATTAAAGAGAAAATTACTGATGAAACTGACCACAACAATGATAGTGAATTATTGCATATAAGGTATGAATTAAATTTATATCATACTGTAATAAATTTGATAATGTAATTTTTATTTTAGATTCTGAGTGGAACGATAAATGTATTGATTTTACAATGATGTATTTTTTTATTTTTGTGTCTGTGAACACGATAAGTAGTCGAAATAATGCTTTGATTTTCAACTTCAGTATCTTGTTTGATTGGAAAGTGAATATCGTTGGTGCATTGGGGAGGTCAAATTTAATACCATCCATTATACAGTGACCCACTTGTAACCTATGGTACAGCAGAGCAACTTTTTATTAATTTCTTTATGATATTATAATACACAGTTCTGGAGTGTTGCCACTCACACTTGATGGTTGTTATGTTCAAGAATTAAATGAAAATATTAAAAAGGTACTCTGCTGTACAGTAGGTTACAAGTGGGTCACTGTATAATGGATAGTATTAAATTTGAATTCAATAATATAATATCATTGTATAAGAAAAACGATTCTGAGCGGAGACGATATGTCAGTCTAAGTATAAGGCATATTATATACTTATCTATGGTATTAAAAAAAATTGACCTATTATAGGTATCTATAATAAATTCCAAATTAATCATATAACAATATCCATTAGGTACTTATAACTCGTTATACATCAACAACAAACCCTGATTCTATCATAGATATATAATAGAGTACTTTAGAAATTTTAAGTACCCACGAATAATATTATACAATCACAACGAAATAACTGCAATAGATATTCTAGGTTTTTTTAATGTAATTTCAACCAAATTTGAACTTAAAATGACTATAAAAAATAAACTGCGCGTAGGTATGTATTCTTTAGATTTTTTAGTAACAGGATTAACTACTTATGTGGAATCTTGTTTTAAATTTTCAATCCTTAGGTATAAAAGTTGAACATTTTATAAATTATTAACTACAAAATAATTATTCAATTTTAAATTAGATAAATTTTGTCAAAATTCGATATTTAAATGCTTATAAAAAAAAATTGTGCCTATGTATTTTTAATATTTTTTAACTGATATTGTAACAATATATCAGGAGCCTTGTATTAAATTTTTACACTTTTTGGCCCAATCGATAAAACTTTATTGATATTTATAGAAAAAAAAAACTAAAAAAATTGGAAACTGAAAATGTCCGTAAACAGCTCAAAAAGAGTCAAAATATAATCAAAATTGTATGGTGTATAGGAAATGCTAATATAAACATTCAGTGAAATTTTCATGTATCTACAGTCATTCGTTTTTGAATTACAAGAAAATAAGAAAATCGTTACATGAGAAATCGAGTGAATATCCAGTATTGTAAAAATTTGAATTTCAAACGCTCATAAAAATTTAATTTGACTTTCTTATAGACATTTATTACTTGATAAAGGTAGATAATCTTATAAGGAATCTTGTATCACATTTTAAAATCTTAGATTTAAAAAGAAAATTTAACTCAAAATAATTTGCTAATTTTCGTAATTTTTCCATATTTTGTCAATTTTTGGATTTTAAATGCTTATAAAAAAAAAAAACTGTGAACAAGGTTTTTTAATATTTTTCATCTGCCTTTGAAACAATATAGTAGGAGCCTTGTATCAAATTTTCAAGCTTTTTTAACCAACTAATAAACTAATAAAATTGGAAACTGAAAATGTCCCTAAACAGTTCAGAATAAATCAAAATATTTTGAAAATGTTATCGTGAATAGAAAATGCAAATATAAACAACCAATGAAAATTTCACTTATCTACGGTCATTTGTTTTAAAGTTACACCAAAGACCAAAATTGATTTTTTGGAAAACAGATTTTGCGAAAAAATTCCCGTTTTTCCTTAATTTTTCTTTTGTTTTTCACGGCGCTTTTGAAAACTACTGTAAAATTTTTACTTTTGACCCCCCCAAAGTACCAACTAGATTCACTTTCCTATCAGAAAAGCTGCTGTTGAAAAAAATCCAAGCACTTTTACTGTCCTAAAACGTGATGACAGACACAATAATAAAAAAAAAAACACACATCATTGTAAAATCAATACATTCATTGTTCCACTTAGAATCTAAAAAGAAATTATTGATGATCAAGTATTTAATGGCATTATTAAACAGGAAAATATTGATAATCAAGTTTTTAATGGAATTATCAAAGTAGAAATTATTGAAGAAATGGACCATAACAATGATAGTCGATCATTTCAAATAGGGTATGAATTAAATCTACATCATAGTACCTATAATATTACATTTTGTATACAATTTTAATTTTGATTAATTGTTTTATGAAATATTACACAGTTGTAGAGTGGTACCGTTACCACTTAATGTGATATGTGGTGATCAAGCATTTGATGAAAATACTAAACAGGAAATAGTTGATAGTCAAGTATTTAATAGCATTATTAAAGAGGAAATTACTGATGAAACAGACCGTAACAATGATAGTGAATTATTACATATAAGGTATGAATTGAGTTTATATCATACTGTAATACATTTTATGATATAATTTTTATTTTGATTAATTTCTTTATGATAATATTATAATCCACAGTTCTGGAGTGTTGCCACTCTCACTTGATGGTTGTTGTGTTCAAGAATTTAATGGCATTCAAGAAATTCGCCAGACTAAACCGGTGTAGATTTCCCCTTAAAAAGTAAACCGGTGCAGTATTAAGAAATTTGCTGGACTAAACCGGTTAAGAATCGAGACACACCGGTTTACTTTTTTTCGACCACTGTAGCGAGGTGGTCGAAAAATACCGATCACGATCCGTCCCCACCCTAAACCTGAATTTCCCCTTGTTATCTGTTATCACATCAATCACTATCAATTTTTACACTAAACCAAATTAAAAAATAAAAATAAAAATATGCATAGTCTGTACAATAAACATTAACTATTAAACGTGATTTATATATTAATAATATACTACTAAGTATAATAATATTACTACCTGCTCATAAAAGAGACCTAGTAGTATTAGTAGTATAAAAAATATTAACATGAACTCGGAAAATGAGATAATTGTTATGGGACATGATGCTGAGTATGGAGGCAAATGTAATTTACATAATTAAGTATTTTTTTAAACACTTCTGTCTCGTTTTACTTTTGTTTAGATGAATTCCAAGATATGGTAGTTGAAGAATATGATGAGGAACTGAATGGTGAAGTACAAGCAAATAATAATCAAGCATACAATCCGAGTATGTATTTCATTGATTTGAGAATTGACGATATGAAATTTTAATTTTAATTTTTTATAGATCTATGGCCAGTGGCAGCTACAAAAATGCTTATTGCAATAAAAGGACCAATGAGTGCCGAATTTGAAAAAATTAAAAAAAAAGGGTCAAAAAACTGCACTCTGGCAAAAAATTGCCAACACAATGACAAATAAAAATTACAATTAAACTGCGAAGCATTGTGATGAAAAGTGGAGACGACTGCTCACACGCTTCCGACAGGTACATGATGCTAGTAAACGTAGTGGAAATGGAGGCGTAAAATGGCAATATTATGATCTAATGCAAGATGCAATGTCATCAGTATCGAAACAGACCATTTCACCTCCAGAAAGTAAGATATCTTAGTTTTTTTTAAGGAAGTATTTACAATTACCTTTTACCATAGGCGTGCGCACAAGACATAGTGAAATTTATATGTATAATTGTCAGTCCTGTAAAGTATTTGAGTAAAAGTATTCAAATACTTTTTTAAGTATTGAATAACTTTTTAAATACTTTCAGCATGAAGTATTTTGAATGGTATTTTAAATACTTTTTTTTGTATTAAATACTTTTTGGTATTGAATACTTTGGAAAAATATTATTGTCAACTACAATAATAGAATAATAGTTTTATTTAATATTCTGTATTTCTGTGTTCGCCCAAGCCCGAAGGTTTGTGAAATGTACGACGGATGACAATTTTGAATACATAATGTTTTTAAAATGTAATAAACATTTATTTAATATAATATAATAAATAAAAATGATTATAAACCCACTACCTATGTGTCTATATTACAATAATTAGAAACCCACTTTAAAAACCAAAAGTATTTGAGTAGTATTTGAAATACTATACAACTAAAGTATTTAAGTAGTATCTTAAATACTTAAAAAAAAATGTATTTGAGTATTTACTCAAGTACTTTTTAAAAGTATTCTTTACAGGACTGAATTAATTGTATAACAATCAGTGGCAAAAGTATTATTTTGGAGCAATCGCGCCTTCAACATTTTTGGTAGTTGGGTGGTCCTCCCCTCCACAATCTACCTAGTCTCTTAAGTTTAGTGCACAAGTGTGCTGTACATGGTCCATTACACTGGTAACAATTGGTGCTGAGTGCTAACTCATAGCTATACCAACGTAAGAAACATTATGAAATCTACACACACTAAATATAAATCAAGATACAAGATACCTAATTAATGAGTGTGATAATTTAACTAATTAAGTAGGTACATCTGATTACACAAATCTCTACAAATGTATGCATATTTTGTAAATGTTGAATATCTTGCTATGGTGGAAATGCCGTTAAAATGGATAAAGAAGTAGGGGTGGGTGGGTACCTTGTATACATTTTTGCTCCTCACTAAAAATGATTTTAACTCATTAACATAATTGTTATATTTATAACACTTGTAATAGCTAATCAAGTTATTACTTAGATTTAAATAAAATTAGTTATAGTATATTTTTCCATGTTACAGATTTGTTACATGAATCTTCTAGGTCTGAATCTACTCCATCAGTAACAAAATCTCATGTTTTGAATACTCCAGAATTGTCATCACCAACATCAAGTTCTAGTCCATCACCAACGCACCGTCCATCATTATTAATATTAAACAACAGTGACAAAATGCCTGTTTGGTTTGAGAAATTTGAAATATTGAAAAAAAAACAAATAGAATTTAATAATGAAAACACAGCACAACTCCATGAACGGTTAGTAGGACAAGAAGTGTAAATGAAAAAATATTTTATAATCTGTCATTATTCCATAAGCTTTTTTTTTGATAGATTAGACAGACTGGAAAAGAGAGAAGAGAGTATGATACAAGTACAACAGCAGCTTCTAAGTAAGTTAGATACTGCGAATGAAATTGAATTACAAAAGTTGGAAATGTTTAAGAAAATGTTCAACAAACCCTAGTTATATTTTTTAACCATTTAGTATACTGTTACCTAATTGTTTTTTACTACCATAAGTAATTATAATACTGTTTTTTTAATTTTTTGTTAAATTATATCCTTTAAACACTAAACTTAATCAAAAGAACTGATTAGTTTAAAATTATTATTTATTTTTGTTAAAGTCTAAGTATTATGTTTTTCGTTTCAATACAAATTCTATTACCTTATTGTTTTTTATTACCATAAGTAATTAAATAACAAACTGTTTTTATTTAACTAATTTTTTTGCTTTTATTTATAAATATTCATTTATTTGTAAAGAATTACATATAAAATCTCTTTTAGTCATGCCACCCATAATTTCCTCTTCATTTTCCTCGATAGTTTCTTCTGATGGTATTGGATCATAATCAATATAATCATCGCCTACTGACATACATATATTGTGTAAGCAGCATGCAGCTGTAATTATTTTTCCACAAACATCTTTTTTATATATATCCATATGCCTGAAATTTAAAATTAAATGTATTACTTAATTTTTAAAGATTTATTTATTATATCCATGTACATTGTACATGAAGTTTCATTATAACATACTTTAATTTCCTAAATCTGCAAATTAATTTTCCAAACGCCTGCTCAATTAGAATTCGAGTACTACTCAATGTCCTATTAAAATTTTTTTCATGTCTGGTTAAATGCCCATTATCTTTATAAGGTACCATTAGACCTTCAGTCAATGGGTATGCACCATCTCCCAGAATATGGCATGTCGGTGGTAGAATGGTCCAAGGATTATTAATGATCATCTGACCAATACTGCTGCAACGATAAATCTGTGCATCATGTGTACGTCCAGGCCAACCAGCAAAAACATCTATAAACTTTAGATTTGCATCAACGATTCCCTAAATAAATATAAAATTATTAATTCATTTAAACCTAGTAGTAGAATATAAACTATTATTTATATTATTATTACAGTTGAATTAAATTTATCCGCAAGTATATTATTTCTATATATCAGTATTAGATTAAAATGTTCAACATTAAATTATAGGGGGGGGGGACAATGGAGAGGCAAAATCAAATGTTGGGGGCACCAGCCTACCCTTGCCCCAGTGTAACCCTGCCCCTGCCAGCTATTAATAGGTACATACCTATAATACTATGGTAGGCAATTGTTTTCAATTACAAAACATATTTCTATCCAGTTTTGGCATTTTTGTTCTCTTTTCCCATGGAAATAGTGTATTTATGTGGCATCCATCAATACAACCAAAAACATTTGGAAAGGAATTATCTCCACGAAGTAAATTAAATTTATTCAAATTATCTGTGGCAGCTTGGCCAGATGGCCAAACAATAATTTTAGCAGCTACACTATTCAAAGCTATTAAACAGTTATTCACTATTGCGTGGCTTGTACTCTCTGCTACATCGAATCTATTTGCAATTTGTCTAAAAATTAAAAACCAATACGATATTAATGTTATTTTACCTAAATAATTTTAGATATTTTATTTCATTAATTTTTTTCACCTGTAAGTTTCACAATTTGCCATATACCAAATAAAAATTAAAACTTGTTTTTCTATATTAATTTTTATAGACTCCAATGAAAGAATCGGGCCAATGTATGAGACTAATACCTAAGAAAAATAAACTTTCAGTAGAAATTTAGAAAAATATTTGAATAACATAAAGTAGGTATACATTTTCATTAAATTAGTACTTTTAAACATGGCCCTTAGAGACAAATAACAAACCTCAATACTCCTTCGATCTAAACGAAAGTGAGATTTAAATTCCTTGTCCAAAAACTTTGGTACCATCAATTCAGCAAACATTTTTATTTTTGTTTTTAATTCTTTTGACTTATTAGCTCCACTAAAAATAATAAAGTCGTCTTCACTTTGATCATCATCGCCAGAACCAAAATACAGTGGATGAATAAATACGTCTAATTTAAAAAATGTCTTACATCTTAAATGTATAGGTATCTTGTAATGGGTACAGGGTTGGGCAATGTTTCACAGGATCGCCGCCTATGATGTGCATTACGGTATAAGCAGTGTCCTCTGAGCGCCGTGAGCGGAACATTCCCGCTTATGGACCATAGGCGCAACTAAGGTAAAAATTCTGGGGGGGCTATAGCCCCGAACAAATTTCTTTGCTTCCGTTAGAAATGTTATATTATATTACCCATTTAGTTATAATCAATAAATAAATACAAATAATTGTTATAATAATTCTTATATTAGCATTCTACATTCGTCGGTTTTTTATTTTATTATATTTTTCCAATATGTCATAATTATTGATATTATTGGACATATCTGTCTCAATATTTAAAATGGCTAAATTTGAAAATCTATCTTGCTCCATTGATGTTCTCAACCAATTTTTTACGCGTCTCATACATGAGAAGGATCGTTCACATGTTGCCGAATTATCTGTATGGTTAGAGCTACTTGAAACAGCTTGTATATGTTTGGAAATGTATTCTTCTTCACAATTTCTTTGATGGTGTCTAATTCAAAATCATTATTTAAATTAAATGCACAATTTTTAGCAACGAGCATCTCCGCCTTTAAATCATCTAGTTTGACATTTAAAATTGACTAAAAACCATAAAATGTTCAATTAATATAAATTTGTATGTATTAAAAAAATATTTTTAAGTTTTCACAATTTTCCTGATATTGATTTATAAAATATTCACTGTTTTTTAAATCCATTTTGAGAAAACTATCTATTGAAGTGGCTAATAATAAGCTTTCGGTTGAAAATCTGCCTTTAAGATTAATAATTAATGTGTCGATAATTCTGTAGTAAGCCACTCTTCGCCAGTACTCTTCTTCTGTTCCGATGTTACACTCTCCTTCATTTTCTTCTCCAGTTTTCTCTAACACCACAAAGTTCTCATATCTATTTGGCTGTTTTCTTGTACGTTTAAATTGAAGTCACATGAAAAAAAACTGGGGGGGCTATTTGGCAAACTGGGAGGACTTAGCCCCCTCTAGCCCCCCCCCCTAGTTGCGCCTATGTTATGGACATGTTGTAATTATCGTGGAGAAAAAAACGAACGTAGGTACCAGTATAGGTAAAACATTTATTATTATTGTTTTTGTAATTTCTACTACTACAGTAGTACCTTGCCAGCACCATTTCTGTAGAGTATGTATTGAGAGGTGGTTGCGGGAAGGTAGAAGAGGTTGTCCGCTATGTAGAACTGATATCATTATGCAACAAAAGTAATTATTTAATTTGTTTAATTATTATGATAACTGTTTTAAATATTTTGTGTTTTAATTTTAATAGTTTACCTCAAGAATAGTCAAACCAAGGGCGCCCACAAAATATTATACATGTACCAGGCCAAAAAAAAATTATATAAAATTTTCTTTACAAAGATTGTACCTATTACCTAATTAAGAAACTGTTTTATTTAATATAGGTACCAAGTATTATTAACTAATGATAATATAATGATATAATTGCTAATAAAATAGTATCTACAGAATAGTATTATAATACACTTGTACCTAATTTATATGTTTATATACATATAAATTATAAACATATAACATTATTCAATAGATCAACATTTCTAAATTATTTAACAAAAGTTAAATAATAAAAGAAATTTGTTACCTTCGCACATTTTAAAATTTAATATATTTATTATTTATTAATTATTATTGTCTAAATCAGTGAGAACCACGGACTAAGATATATAGGACTGGAAACGATAGACTGGTGGGGGGGGGGGGTGGTGGTATGGCTCTCAAATATTTCGGTTTGGTACAATCGTGACCTTAACTGCTACCTGGTGTACTACACAACTACTAAATTGAAGCTATTAAAAGTACAAAACATTTTTTATTTAGATTACTGATCACTGTTGAAAAATCATTTGTCAAGTATTGTGGAAACAATGATGTATTTTTAATGACAATTGATGACTTTTTTGGCAACAATCAAAGTATCAATTTTCCTTGTGTTGAACATAAAAAAGACGTACTTACATAAATTATTTCAAATTTTATAATCATGAGAATGCAACAGTATTCATTAATAACAAATAAAAATGCTAATAAACTTAATGCAAATAAAAAAGCTAGCTAAATTAGTAAATACATAGTAATAAATAATTATTAATTATGTTCTAATATTTGTATATAATATTTAAAATTATCATAAAATAATATATTAATATGTATTATTATTTTAAAATAATTTATGTGTTATTTTATACACAACCCTTTATTCGAGAATAAAATAATTAATTTAGTACTAGATGATGATGATTGTGTTATAATTTCTAGTAACATAGTATGCATTGTAAAAAATATTTTAAACATAAATGGTGAAATATTCTTAGTTTGTGCAAAATTTGATGATTTAGTACCTTTATATGACCAACCATGTTCTTCAATATCAGTTGGTTCTATGAAATGCAAAAATATATCCTCAGATTTAAAATTGTATCATTTAAGTGATGTGAAGTATAAAGCGTGCTATTTCCCTACATCTGAAGACATTTCAGAGACATCTTTTTTTGTCTGTGCTTTGCTTCATGTATCCAGTTAACCATGTAATATTTTAATAATTATATTTACACAGTTAATTAATATATTTTTTCCTTTTAGAATGAATAATTTAAATAAGTTGTATGCCATTGCGGCCTTGGGCAATGGTAAAGTTATGGCTATACCATGTATTTGGTTAGTTCAAGAAAATTATTCACCCATAGTCAAAAATAAAGATTATGAATTATATTTTCCATTACACGAATCTGTTAAGCAAGCAGAAAAATATGCAGATGTTGAAAAAGATTGGGTAAAATCATGTTGCACAATGCACGGTTCTCGATATTACAGGTAAAATTAAAACTTACCAATTTTTTTAAATATGTATATTAAATTACTTAGTTTACCTATAGTATAAATGTGATAATTGTTCAAAAACTAAATCAAACTAAATATTATTTTAATTTTTAGATTCTTATTTAAGAGCCCATTATATGGCTACCACAGAAAACTTGAGAAAATATACATTTGTTATTGTTGAGTTTTTGGAAGACCAATCAGCGGAAGTTGTTTTATGTAATTGGGTTTTGACTGATGATGTTACACAACAATTTAAATGTCAGTGGCCAGGAAGTAAAAATGCATTGAAGTACTCTCAGTTGAAAAAAAATCCTACAAATGTATGGTCAACACATATCTGTATTCCACGAAAATTTTTTGGTAAGTTGATATTTCATAAATATAATTGTTTTAATTCAAAATAATATGAATATATAAATATTGATAAATGATCTTATTTATTTTTATAAAATTTTTATTTATATCATTTAGATGATTACAAAGAAGCAAAAATGAAACTGCCTATTTTTGGTATAACTAGTTCAACAGAGACAGAAGATGTTAATGTAAAACACAAAAGAAAACATAAGAAGAAGAAGCAGTTTGATGAAAATGAAGAAAATATTACAGCTGTAGTTCATAAGAAAAAAACAAACCTAAAAGTAATTTATAACTTCATAACAATTTAAAAAAAAGAAAATTAAAAAAAAATTGTATTTCTAAAATATGTAGGTTTTTCTTCATTATTCACTGATAAATTAAAATTATAATCAACATTTAACTAACAGCTCAATTAATAGTATGACATTATTGAAATATATTTGTATGTAAATATTAATAATATTATGCATTTTTCAGATAATCTAATAAATTATTCTTTTGAAAGTGACAATCAAAGTCAATCTATGTTTTCAATGCTAATAATATGGATCCATTTATTTTTAGGTAACTTTAACATAATTGAAATTCACAACGAGACATTGTCTCCAGTACAGTCAACTTCAAGTCCATTACAACAGTCATGTGAATTGGAAAATGTAGTCGAAGACAATGGAAATCAAAATTCACAAGCTTTTACAATACCTGAACTAATGAATGTTGTACAAAATATTGGTCATGTTATGATGAATGGTAAGTTAAAGTCTTAACTAGTTCCATAAATCATAAAATATTTGTTTTGTTAATTTATTATATATAATATTATTAAATTATGTAATATATATTATATATTATTTTACCATTATGTAAAATGTATATTATTAATTATATTTTTTTTTGTATAGTTTCAAATCAAATATCTGCTATTCAAAAAGATGTAGGAATTATGAAGGTTGATTTAATTAAAAACCAAGATCTGTTGACAAATCTTAGTGACAACTCACGTCCACAAAACATTTTAAATATACCAGAAAATGTTATTGATCGCTCTAATTTAAAGATTCCCGTGATGACAATTGATGAGTTAAATGCTCTTGAAGCAAATTCTAAGCTTAAACGAGTCTTAGTAAGTTTAATTATGTACAGGGTTATTTTTTAAACATTCTCCCTCCAATTTTTTCCTTTAATACTGATTTTATTAAAATTCTTCTTATTTTTTTATACTAGTTAAGAAGTGTTGTGACAGCAATAACATATATTTTTCAAATGAGAACACCTTTTTTTCAAAATGTTGATGTATCTAAGTATTCTAAGTCAAAAATGTAATAAATAATTTCTGAGTTATTAAAATATTTATACTAAGGATAATAATCCTTAAAAATTTTTTTACAATAATCTAAACTAAATGTAATATTGGATCTAGACTCGTACTATTTTTTACAAATTAGTTATATTTTTGGATTAATAATAATTACCTACTAACATTTTCAAATCATTATAGCCTCCTTATGGCTTATATCTTCCTAACCCATTACCGTAGTCATTTTAGCCTTAGTACACAAAGTTAATTAACTCAAAAAGTAGTTGTTCAAATTTTC